CCAGTATGAATCAGATGCTTTCTCTTTTAATTTCAATGGTTTATTTTGTTTCTTGGTTGGTTGTTTATTTATTATTATTATTATTATTATTATTATTATTATTGTTATTGTTATTATTATTGTTTTCCCTAAGAAGCTAATGTGAACTTGAAATGTAAGTGATTTTATTTTGAGGAACACAAAGTAAATAGGTAGTATTTTAAGGATAATGTTCTGAATTAGACAAATAGAGTTTATAAACTGAAGTTTTTTGAAAGAAAACATGCTTCATTGGGTGACATTTGCTAAAAACACTTGCATTTGTCATGTCTTGATGCCTCTGCAGCTTATTTATGACTCTCTTAATGCTGTCTGCTCTGGTGGCGAAGCTCCCATCTAAGTAGTAATATAAATCAGCAGGATGCCAAAAGTTAACCACACTGCAACATTTTAATGCTGCTGGGTAAGAGAGACTCACAAACACAAACCACCGAAAAATCGATAGTAAAACAGCATCCAGTCATGCCAAATGGCTCTGACCTTCTTTCCCCTTAGAGCTTCATCATGGCCAGGGGTTTGGTTACCAGTGGGGTTTTCTGCCTGGTGCAGAAAAGCAGGGCAGTATCCATGGTGCAGTGAATTGCACTTCATATGAGACAGGATCAAACTAATGGACTCAACTCCTTCTATCACTGGGGGTGATGGCTAGTGTCTCGTCTTTTCCATCATAGCAGAATACCTGTGAATGCCTGTGAATACCTGTTTCACACCTGTGAAACACATTTAGAAACTGGCCCACATTCTCCTGAATCGCAAGTGAAGCTATGGCACTGAAACTTCATGGTCCCTGAATAACCAAATCTCAATTCTGAGCCCATGGGCATATATATCAAAAGCGACTTTTGTGAAGTCAATATGTTGGTACATCAGAGTAAGTCCTCTGCCATTGTTGCACCAGTATTTTGATTCAGTTTCAAAGACATAACAATACTTCAGTGCTACCTGTAACCTTTTCTTTATTTTCAAAGAAAAATCTTCAAATTCTGGAAGATGAATGGCAGATAATTTGGGGGCAATACAGAGACAAAACTGAATCAATGAAAAAGAATATTCTAAAACATGTTCAAATGTGGTTGCAGATCAGTGCAGAGACTGCACTGTGATGATTCTTTCATTCAAACACCCAACATATCAGGTGCATTCAAGGTTTCAGAAGAGATTTAGTTCTAGCTTCTGGTGTTTTCTAAAGCTTTACGAAATAAAAATCAAGACCTAAACTATAAGTAAATAATCCTGCAAACTATTCTTGAAAGCCCATTCCATTCCTTCTCAAAAAAGTCATTAGATAAGACTATACCATCAAAATAAACAACCTTTCTGAGGTAGTTTTCTAAAATGTAAACAATCCCCTCCATTATTCCTCCCAGCTGGAACACAGAGGGTGAATCTTTATAAAACGCATGTTTTCTGCCCAGAGATACACAAAGCTAAGCAATATCTTGCAGAGATTTTAATTTAATCTTTCATGTAGCCAGGGAGTTTTAAGCCCTAGTGCTTTTAATTTATGTTACCTCATAAATTAATAATGTAGGTATGATGGAGGATAGCTCATCAGATTAAATGTGTCATTTTATAAAGCAGTTTGGAAGCAAAAAGTATGAAGTACTCTTAAATGATGCATTAGGTGCACAAATCATTACATGCGTTATTTCTGGACTGGACAATGGTTGAAATGAATAAGAATTTAGTTACAGTAATTTTATTTTAAGGTAGTGAGCACTTGCACAAGAAGTAGCAGTGATGCTGACCCGGGCATGCTCTTCTGTGACCTTCCAGAGTTCTCTGTATCACTTCCATGCACGCAGTCCTGCGCCACGACACCTTTGGTAGCAACCATGGGAGAGGTTCTCGCTGAGCAGTCTACACTTGGGCACAACCCTGGCAGCATTTGATGGAGCTGCACAGGGAGTACAGAGCAGTTAGAAGTGAATGCATGAGTTCTGGTTTGCTATGAAGAGTGGCTCTCTCCCCACGGTATGGACATGCTGAGAGTCTACTTCAGCTAAAACAGCAAGTTCCTTACCATGCAATACGGTTCAGTCATAAGTCCTTAATACTTCACATTGTGGCCTAGTGCCCAAAATCTGATAAAGAAACTTAATAAACCTGCTCTTACATCCAATGTGTCTCTAAAAAAATTTGGTGGCAAATTTACTACTGTTATACATCCTATTAAAAAACCAAACCCATCAGGTTTTCTGTCATAAACCAGCTGAAAACTGGTTTATGTCCATGACAGGTATGTTCTTTTGTGAGACTACAAAACGTAAAAATTAATGTATTTACTGCATAGTAAACATACTGGTACAATACAATAGGAATTTAAAAACTGTAATAAACCATATAATCTGTGCAGGAGGGACTACACATCTATTCACTGTTGCTACATTTTATGATCCCCTTTTTGTGTATTTTTCCTGGTGGTTGCTGATTTTTATATGCCTTATAACTGTATAGGGAGGTAGCCAAAGCACACCTGCTGGCTCCAGCACCTTCAGGAAGGGGCGGTGTGAAAGCACTGCCTGTGCCACATGGAGGGGAGGCTGAGCAGCCCAGTCCTGCTGGGGTAGGTGGGTAGGTGTCCTGGGGGAGCTTTGCTGCCAAAAAACATTAGGTGGATTTTAGCAGCCTGTGTAGGCAAAATCTGAGAATCCCTTCCTTTTCTACTTCACTGCTAAGGTGACTTAAACATCGTATTTCCGCCTTCTCCCATTATCACCTTTTAATTTATCTTGTTCCAAATTCCTTCCAGAGATCTCAGGTAAGATGTAAAATATAGATAAAAGTGAAGGATAAAAGAAATAGAAAGTGGTTATGCCATTTTCTTTACAGTTCTAGGTCACAATTGTCTTCTTTTAACTACCCAGAAGTCTGTGAAATATCTCCCTACTGTGTCCAGCCATGCCTGGTCTGCAAGCTTTCCTGAAGATGGTGATGCTTCATATGGAGCAAAGTCCCTGTGCAACTCTTTCTTTATATATCTGCACACATACATAACATGGAAAAAGGAGGAATAATTAGGAGGTGAGGCTGGACTGCAGTGCTTGGGTTTACTGGCATATACACGTGACAGCTGTAATGGAGCAAGCAGACAAACAGTAAATAATTTCACAGTAACTCTTGGTGCAGCACCACCAAAAGGCCTCCGTGTAGACAGGGGACATGCTGAGGCAGACACTAGGTAAACACATGGTAAGGGGGAGTCCTTCCTCCTCACTGAAGGACTGGCTCCTCCAAAAGAACAGAGAGTACAAGGAAATCAGAGGTCTGCAGTGACTTGCTCCAAACCACAGACCAAACCTGCAGCAAAGCTGGGAGGTGCAGCTGCATCTCCAAATGCACACATCTTCCCTGACACCCAGAAAAACCTCTCTAAGTTAACCCTATTCAGTCTGCTTGTCAGACACACAAACACACACTCTTTATGAAGCCTGGGCAAACCTACTGCTAATGATGCCCCCCTGCATCCCAAACAGGCTGCAGGGCTTGCACCTGCTCTTCAATTCAGCCTTCATTTAATTAATGAAAGACATAAAACTACCAACTGTATCAATTTACTGCAGCAATGAGTACAGTGCTCTGGGTTTTTAACCCCAGGGATCTGGCAAACCACAACCGCTCACCCCAGAATTCAGCAGTATTTAAAACATTATCTGAGAGCAGCTGGGAAGAAAAACACTTAAAACCAAAGAAATAAAAAGGTATTTGCTTTTAGGCTAGCATTTGTTGCTGTTTTTAGATTAAGCTGTAGTTTTCTGTAACCTCCATATTCCTCTTATCTCTGAAGCAACCACATTTGCTGCGAACAAATACAACCTCAAAACTGAAATCCAGGAAACATGGCACTCAACAAAATGCCTTTAGAACTTCTAGATCCTGCTCTAAAACCTGCAGTGAATGGTCATATCCACTATCTGCAGCCCCCACATTATGTAAAAGTTGAAGAAACCATAATGATGGCTAAGCAGTGAAATTTCTTAACCCTAGACATCTGAGGCAGAGCGTTTCCTGAGTAATGTGGTTTCTTAGATTTTTCTTGTAGTAAGTTTCCACCTTGCTGCTGCGCAGCTGGCAGCTGAGAAATGTGTACTTCTTACTGTTTACTTTTCTGACCTACTTCATTAAAAGTCTATGAGCCCCACTGTGTAACAGAAGGGGAAAAGGTTGTTCACATCCTTCCACGTATCAGGGAAGCTCTCTGACATGGGACATCTTGATGGCTGAGTCATCCCATCTGTCCCAGACACCTCTCAGGCCAAAATGAGCAGAGCAGAGCTGAGGGAGTGCTCAGTGAGAGGCAGTCCTTCAAGCAGACAGAGCATCCTCAGCCTCTCACAGAGGACAGGCACTCAGGGCTTTCCATGAGCGACTCAGGCTTTGCGGGTTTGGCTTGCTCTAACGACAAGGTGTGCTGAAGACAAAGTGCTGCCTTTGGTTATGACTGCGCTTCCTCCCGGAAATAAACATAACAGCTCAAGTTTAACTGGGATCAGAGCTTGGCCTTTGATGTCAAGGGCGTAGTGCCAGGAAAATACTGCAGTTCTTTTTGTTCAGCTATTCAAGGCTCTGCTCTAGACCTGAGCTTGGAAAAGAAAAACTTAGCTTACTCAGAGACTGACACAGAAGTCAGCCTCTGGGCTGGGTAGGGGAAAGAGATATTTATAAAAAAAAAATTATGTTTGCAGAAAACTCTGGATAAATAACTGCAGAAAATGCAGATTTTCATTACATGACTTGTATGTGTTGGATATAAATCTGGATTTCTTACTTCTGGAGTGAAATTATATTAGGAATAATAAAAGCGTCTAACATAGGACACACAATGAACTCAGATCATCCTTTAACAAACCTGGAGAGGATACAAACACAAGTTTGATGGAACTGACTGATTTGAACAAAATGTCTGTGAAATGCAGAGCAGCATGCAAGAGCCACAGGATTAAAAACAGAAGCTCCCATACCTGTATCTTTGCTTTGGAGACTGCTTTTCAGCTGACTTAAAAACATGTCCAAGGTAATACAAAGGAAAGAATAAAAAGTTCCAGTTTGTTGCAAACCACGTTAGAGTGAAGGGTGCATCGAATTTCTTAAAGGTCAGTTTTGCTAGCTGGGTTGAACCTGACCAAGAGGAGCAGACACCCAGGACCACGGCCACACCCCAGAAAATCTTCTTGAGTTGCGTCACGGAACATTTCCAGCAGCAGCGGTTCACCCTTCCACTGCCTTCCGCCCCAGCTTGCATCTGTGCTTCGGCTGGGGCTGGAGACTCCCGGGAGCGCTCATCCCCTGCGGAGGAGAAAACACATGGCTTACTAAGGAAATCCATCCTGCATTTTAGTTTTCAAATCTTAGGCCCTTCTGAAGTCACGTGGAGCTTTACGAGCAAAGGAGCCCACCAGATCTTGCCACAAAATGTCCTTTGTTTTTAGATCATTGCAAAGCCTCTGGTTGAACTGAAGCATAATAAGAATGCAAATAACAATTATCACCTCTAGATTTAGAAGCCGTTGGGTAAAATGAAAGTGAAAATTACATGTTGCTTTGATGTACATAGAAAGGCTTAACACACCACTTAAACTCGTGCTGTTGGGATGTGTAAATGAACGAAAAATGTGGTATTGAGTTTGATAAAGCAGCAAGGGGGATTATAACAGCACTTGAAATTGTTATTGTCTTGGAAAATGCAGAAATGGCCAGTTTATGGAATACGGTGTTTCTTAAAAGAGAGGGAAGGCAACATATTTAATCTTGAAGTTAAGCCAAATCAATGCAACGAGAACAGTGTGTGTGATTAATAATGAATTGGATCACCAGGCATTTCAGTGATCCCTGGAAAAACAGGTCTCCTGTGGCTGTAGCCAGATGGCAAAAACTAGACCAACCACGAAGTCCATCTCTGACCAGGCAATCCTAAGGTTTTTTAATTCAAGTCCTGCACAACTGAGGCTGGACTGGAGCTTTGTCCCGTTATAACTAAGCCTAGCATGCTGCTGGAAATTTTTCACCTAAAAACCTTGCCCCTCCAACCCTCAAACATGAATTCTTACAGTCCTGATATCCTACAGCTGTCAGTCAAAAGTGTTTCCAGCTTCTGAATGAATGAGCAAAGGAGGTTAGCTGGTTGAGTTCTCACAGAGATCAAAACGTGCTGGGAGACCTCAGCAGCAGGCCACTGCCTTTAGGGCTTTCTACCTGCCTTTCTTGAATTCACCCCATTCAACATCTGCTGAAGTTGTCAGTCACCCAAACACAGCACTCAGCAGTGATTTCTCTAAGAGGCTGACTGCAGTTTAGTTGGTCTATTACCTAAAGCAGGAAGTAACAGTAGTTCATGCTGAAATCCAGGAATCTACAACGTCAAAACTGTCCAGAATTTACTGCATGCATTGAAAGGTGAAAACATGTAAGTTGAACTGGGACAATGAGAGACTGTAATATTGCCAAAGATTTATATATATTCAAGGCAGACTAAGAGAGGTCCACATTAAAAAATAAAAAATTTAAAAATTAATAAATAAATAAATCCTTCCTTATCCTGGTGTGAATTAGTATGTGGAATGCAAAATCTCTTATTTCAAGCTAACCTAAATTTGTATTTATATGACCTAATATATTATGAAAGAAAATGTTTCTTTCTATGGAAAAATGTTTCTTTCAATTTTGTTATTTCCCTACAGGTAAGAAATGCATGATCTGAGCTAAAAGTACCATTAATTTGCCTGGTAAAGCTGTATTTTATAGCAAAAAGGATTGTGGCCTCTGTTTGATGGCCTGATATCTAAAAAGAATGTACAGCAGCAAAGATATAAACATCTAGCTTCTTTGTGTGGCTTTCAGAGAGATAAGAATGTTTCTGATCTCTCCACTTATTTCAGTTTTCAATAGAAGATTGTGTGGACAGCCTCCCACATAACAAGAGATGCACCAGCAAGCCAATGGATTGTCCAAAGTTAATATGACCTTGTATTAAACACATAATGGAAAGGTTACTACCTTTGGTTACCTGTCAAATGTTTGAATTGAAAAACAGACTGCCTGTGAATGCTCAGCTCATTCAAAATAATTCTGAAGCATTTTCTTAGAAATACATTGCTTGTAACTAATGCTTCTTTGCCTCACTTGCTGCACAAACTAGTGTCAGGGTTCAGTTTGTACCAAACAAGGGTACACTCATTTCTTTTAACTTCACCATGTAATGGGCAGTTGCCAGTGCCCTCTTTGCTATCCACCACACAAGTCCCAGAATGATTACCAAATATTTCCTTTCCACTCAAGATTTTCTTCTGGGCATTGTCCCTGCAACACCGAACACTTCACACACCCGAAAAAGGTACAGCATCCTTCTTCCCTTGGACCACTGTGTTTCTGGGCACAGAAAAAAACAAATTCAGGAAGCCGGTGTGCCAAATGAGAACTGAAGAGGAGTTTGTGCCTCTGTGTCAATGCAATTTCACACAGAGTTTATCTTTTTGAAACTGCTTGGAGGGCAAAAATGATCCTCCTCCTTGAGACAGTGGGGCATCTGCCATTCGCATCTTTCTGCAGTTGCTCCCTGGGGAAACAGGAAACCAGGATTTAAACCACTCCTGCTGAAGATATTTAACATTAGGGAATGTGCCTAAATCCAGTAGGGTATATGAGAATTTAAGATGTGTCGCTGCTGTGGTGCGTCACAACACAGAAGCTGTGTTATTTTTTCAGAAATGAGAGTCACTCACAACTGTCTGATGAACCAGACAACATCTGGTAATACAGTGTTGATAGACAGCCCACTACAGACACTGTGGTGAAGATCTTCCCCCCTGTGAAGGACTGAAGCCACCTGCACAGGTCACCATTGTACTGTGCACGTACACAAGAGTCAGCAGTTCATCTGGACAGCTTGAATGTCACTGCCCTCTACTCTGTTCCATGGCAGTTGCTCCCTAAAGCTGAATTTTCTGATGTTTTCTTTTGCTACATAGGCAAAATTACTTGTCTGGGTATATTGAATTTTGTGTTAAACACACTCACAGAAACATTTGCTTTCAGCAATAGACAATACTGCATCTGTGACTTCTAAAATGAACTTGCACCTGAAAGGTTAACTTTCTAGGGATGTTCATGCTTTTGATGTATTTACAGACTGGAGGGACTAAAAACTTATCCCAGGCACAACGGATTTCATTATGGTAGGGGTAAAAATCACTATCTGATGATTAACAGTTTCAAGCTGAGACTTGTAACATCTGTCAGTATTTGTAGTATCTTTCAGCGAAACTTTATTGTGACCTCATGATTGCTTGTGCTGCTGGAGAGTTAGATGCCAAATGGACACAGCTTTTTCCAGCAGATGCACCACTGACCTGGAGGATACCTGTGACGTAATCTGCCCCCAAAAACCAGATTTTCTTTGAAGAGGGTGGACCCTACATATGATATACACTCATGTGGTCCCATACCCTCATGTACTGTGGAGGGCACTGGCCTGCCAGCTGGCAAACACAAAATCCAGATCTGTAGTTTACCTTGTCTAGTCCCTGCCAGTCCCAGTGTCTCTGCTGGAAACATTTTCCTCACCCAAACCACATGCGCACAGATGGGGTGACACTAAACACACACGTGGTTGAAAAGCTTCTTTCTCTCTAACACTGCACAAGAGTCAGCTGGCAACAGAATTCACATGAATTTAAAGATGGAAAAATGTCTTTTTAGAATCTAAGAGACAGGACATTGAAGAATTTATTTCTGCAGACTCTTAATGTGTTTCTTCCATTGCTTCCTGCAGCATGATGATCTATATGCTACTGTATCCCCCAAAAGAACAAATTAAGATACTGAGGTAGAGGAAAAATGCCTATTTACTAGTTTTGGTTTTTTGTTGTCCCTTTTGTTCATGCATTTTCCTTTTTCATAAATCCCAAATGGAACCATTCCTCCTCCCTCCTTTTCGGTTCAACCTCTTTCCCATGGCATTCAGAAACAAAGCAAGGAAATAATCTCCAAAGCTACTGCCAATGCCATTAACCTCAGAAAACAGCTGTCCTTCTGTTTTTTCTGTTATGGCTAAGACCCCCCTCAGGTGACTGTGGATACCTGTAGCAAGGCCCATCTATACCCATGCTATTTACTCCCCAGACCCAGCTCAAGGCCATGAAGCAAGACCCATGGGAAAGAACTACACCTTTAAACCATTAAAGTAACACTAAATAGGCTGTCCTGGCCTCTTCTAAAGTCTCTGCAAGAGTCTTAAGACTCCTGTGCACAGCTAGACAGCTATAGGGTTACTGTAGCCCCACACTGTACCTAAATGTGTGTATTAAAAATATGATACTGATAAAAACCAAGGGTGGCATTCATCATCTTAGTTTGAGACATCTGCCGTGACGACTTGTGTATCTGAGACAGTGATTTACACTTTCTGCATAGTTAGTAGACAGAAAAAAGACATTTCCATAGCACGATTTATCTCCTCCTAAAGTAGATGATTAAAAGGAGCCAGATGAATCACTCCCTCTGAGTGCTTGTTTCTCTCCACCAGCACTAAACAGTCTGGGGCGACAAGCTGGAAGTAGGTGTCTCTGGTGTGGGTGTCTGAAGCTGGGTGAGATGAGTCCCACCTCTCCACCACTGCTGTCAGGAACAGAGGGTAAAGCCACCACAGACAGCGCTGGTGGACTCAGAGCTGTGCAGTGCCACATGAACATATTTAGCTGTCATCAATGACCTGCTTTAGCTGCTGTCAGCTAGTCAGCAACTCAGGCAAGAAAGCATTACACAAGTGCTGGGTGCCCTTTCCAACCCTTCAGAGTGAGAAAGTGACCCTTACAGACTAAGGTCCTGCCTATTAGGGGCCAAAACATGTACCTAATGATAATGCACAACTCTTACAGGTTCCCCAGGCTAGGAATGTGCTTCAAAATAAGCATATTCTTAAACAGTTCTTTACATCAGGCTTCTGGAAAAAAGTTCTGATAAAAAGAAAAACCCTCACAGGTCTCTGACAATTATAAATGAGACATCCTGAAGATATTTCCATTTTGCCAGCCTGTCAAATGTTTTGTAACTGCTTGAGCATTGCGCAGAACGAGTTTGTAAAGCTTGCAAAAATATATGCTTATAATGAAGAGGGGAGAAGGAGCTGAGGGGAGTCCTGTAAGATAGTGCCTGATCCTCAGCATGGTTAGAGCTCTAGAAACCTGTGACATGCAGGAAGATCAGGGCCAGATGCTACCCAAGGCATATTCTCACAGCCTCGGATGCTGTGTGACTTCTTCACCCAGTATCTACTACATGGGGGCATCAGT